GTGAAGAAATCGGAACCCCATGCATTGCTGGTGGGAATGCCAAATGGCGTGGCCAGGGCCGAAAACACGGCGGTTCCTCAAAAAGTGAAGCACAGAATCAACCATTCGACCCTGCAACTCCTCTCCTTCATGTATGTCCAAACAATTGAAACCAGAGACTCAAGCCAGCTCACGTACGCATGCAACAGCCAAGAGGTGGAAACAACTTGTGCCCATCAATGAATGAATGGATAAACAAAATGTGGTATATACATACGGCTATTCGGCCAAAAAAAGAAACGGAATATTATTCAGCCATAAAAGCAAATGCAATTCTGACACATACTACGAAATGGGTGAACTTTGAAAACACGATGCTAAGGGAAACATGCCAAACACAAAAGGACAAATAGCATGCAGTTCCACGTCTATGAAATACCAGAATAAGCAAATTCACAGAGGAATAATGAATGGGTCACAAGGGCTGGGGCTGGGTGGGGATGGCAGTTAGTGTCTAATGGGTACAGAGGTTTGGTGTGGGGTGATGAAAAAGTTCTGGAAATGGGTAGTGGTGACAGTTGCATGAAATTGTAACTGCACTTAATGCCACTGGATGGACCCTTAAAATGGCTGAAATGGTACATTTTGTTATATTTGTTTTATTACAATTTTTTTAAAAAAACATAATGAACTGAGACAAAAAAGTCAGCTACAACAGGCCTCTCTAGGCACAGGGAGCAGATGCATTAGGCTCGGTGGGGAGGAAGAGCATGTGCCACCTGGGGTCAGATCCTGGGGATGGTGGCTGCTCTCTCAATCTGTCCGTACCTCTGTTCCCTCAGTAAGTCGAGGATGGCAATACTGTCCCCTGTGTGGTGCGTTGTAAGACTGAATGAAATGTGTATTCGCACTGCATGAATATTCGTACATAAATATGTAAAGCACTCGGCACAGTGGCTGGTATACAGTACGTGCTCACTGATAGCTACTGTTCTCACCATCATCATCATCCATGCCCACAGTGATGCCTACCTTGGCTCTGATGTCTATGAGAAGGGCAGGGCATATTTTCAGACTGATGGAATGTTCTGGCATTAGATAGTGGTGATGGTTGCACAACCTCTGAATATACTAAAAACCACTTCATTATACAATTTAGAAAGATGAATTTCACAGCACATTAAAAACAAAGGCAGGGAATACAGTCATAAAAGGTTTTCCATAATGTAGACACACAACTGCGTGTAGGATGTACATATTTGCCAAGCTGCAACGTCATGGCCACCACACTCAAGGCCTATTTTCCACCACGGCAGAGAAGGGCCCGGTCACAAGTGCAGAGAATTTTCAGGAGCTCCCCTGGTGGCGTCAGGGAGCAGCCGGGGCTGAGAGCCCGGGAGCCCCAGCCGCCTCTGTCCTCTCAGGGAAATGAGAAGACGCGGCATGGACCCCTCATCTCGCCACGCCTGTGCCAACCTGCCCTGAACCTGTGATCCCAGCGTGAAGGGCATCGCGCCTGGTCAGCCACACGTGGAGCCAATACCTGCCACAGACGCAGTTGGCTGGGCGGGTGGCCAGCCCGAGTCTGAGGTCTTCCCCGAACCAGGCAGCAACATTAGCAGCCACAGACGTGTCAACCATGAAGGTCAGATGACTTGTTTCCAAGGACACAATCCAAAGACCTGGGACAAGCCACCTCCTGCCTGGGCCTGTCCCCGCCGCAGCCCTGGGGCCAGCCAGGCCCCCGGCTGTTCAGTTACATACGGAAAGGGAAGAGTGAGTCTGGACCTTCTGGTGGCAAAATCCAACACAAAGCCCCTGGGGCATGGGGGAGCCTGCTGAACTAGACACAGGATCCCCAGCACCCCCAAGTCCACAGTCTCCCCACTCCCTGCCCACCTTCGCACGTACCCTCTGGCTTCTGTGTTGCCGTCTCCCAGGAAGCCTCTTCCCCCTGGGCCTGCCGCATAAGCCTGCGGGGCAGAAGGAATGGAGGGAGCCTGGCCACTGGCCAGCTCTCCCAGCCTCGGCGTCCTCACGTCTAACCAGGGGATGACACTGGCTTCAGCAGATAGTTGGGACGCCGTGCCCGGGTGATGCAGATCACCTTGGAAAGGGCTCAGCGGTCTTTAAATCAATGCTCAGAAGTGGCACGTGCTGCATGATCTTGACAAGAATGGGCAGCACCTGCTGGGCACGGCACCCGGAAGTGCTTCCCGCTCGGGTGACTCGCAGGCACTCAAGCCTCGGATCTGAGCTGAGGGCAGGACGTGCCCTGATCGGGCAAGCTGGGAGGGGGGTGCCGGGCAGGGTGCTCGGCAGGTATCGTGGGAAGAGGGGAGCTGTGAGCAGAGGGTGGATCCTATGTTTTCCTGTAACTCAGAGACTCTGGAATTCTATTAACGAATTTGAACGATTTCCTTCTCGAGAAGGAGAGACAATTCTTGCCCATAATGATTGTGTCATAAGGAGGAAATCTAGCAATATCCACTTGAATCCATCAAGAAAAGAGTTGATGAAAAATGTGTGGGCTCTCAATAAAGAGGAAGAGAAAAGAACAACATTTAAGTCTGGAAGATAATCTCTGTGACTCAAGTATATAGGAGGTATTCAGGGAAAAACTGCCCAAAACATGAACATATCAATGCTATTATAATTATTTAGGAAAGATGTTATGCTTTAAAAATTCAATTTATTGTATGACACGCATACCTCCATAAAGCACTTGAAATTCAAAAAGTAAGATATTATTAGGAGCAGGCTTGATGGCTCATGCCTGTAATCCTAGCACTTTGGGAGGCTGAGGTAGGAGGATTACTTGAGACCAGGAGTTCAGGACCAGCCTGAATAACATAGCAAGACCCCCTCTCTACAAAAAAATGGAAACAGTGACCAGGTGTGGTGGCACACCCCTGTAGTCCCAGCTACTCGGGAGGCGGAGGCAGAAGGATTGCGTGAGCCCAGGAGTTGGAGGTGCAGTGAGCTATGATGACACCACTGCATTCTAGCCTGGGCGACAGAGCAAGACCTTGTGTCAAAAAAAGAAAGATTATTAGAGCCCTGCCCCTTGTAATCTACATGTCTGTTCTCATTTACTTCTTAAGGAACAGGGAGGGATGGCAGGTGTAACCCACGCCGGAGGGGCGGAGGCTCCTGGTGCTCAGGTGAATTGTTGGAGGCCCAGCAGGCAGAGTGTGCAGCTGGGCCTCCGACTCCAGCCCCGGTGAAGCTTCTGCAAATATCTGTGAGCCTTCTGTGGGCTGGAGGAGGGGGAAGTATCAGGGGAAAACAATGAGGATTCCATTTGGGATTTGCTCCCAACTCACCGTGTAACTCCGACCACCTGACATTTCTCTGGGCCTCAATTTCTTCATCTGTAACATAGGACCAAGAAAAAGGATCTCCGAGACCCTTTTCTGCTCTGGGAATCTGATGATGATTTGTGAATAGTTTTTCTAATTTCAAAAGCCTCTCTTTCCCACCTGAATATTGGAAAGACAGACCCATCCGCTTTTCCAAGTGAAGCGGCACTTTTTTCCTTCTGATTAAAACTTTGGTATGAAATTAGCTTCCTTCTTCTCTCAGGATTCTAAAGTTATGAGTTTTCTAATTCCAATGTCTTGGCCGTTGAAGTGCTAGCAAATTATGTTTATATGAGTCAAAGCATACTTTTGGCTTTAAGATGAAAAGGTTTGACTGGTTTTTTGTGTGTATGTGTGTGTTTTTAAGAAAAATGACGAATATCAGCCCTTAGAAAAATCAGCTCACTTCAAGACCTCCGTGGCATTATTGCCTCCTTTAATATTGCTGACAGTCTCTTGCAAATGTATCACAAGTTGGCATTTATTAGTGCAAGGCACAAGTAAGGGGCATGTTATTTGATTTGAATAACAGCTCGGAGCTACAGTTTGAGTCCAGAAATATATTAGTCAGAAACAATCTCATTTAATAACACAGAAACTAATAAAAGAAAAGTATTCCAACTGATTCAGAATTGAATTTATGAATATTGCTTTAGCAGGATTAATGATCAAAACCCCAACCTGTTTGTCACGTTGTAACTGACTTTTCCATTTAAATGCAAAACCAGAAGTCAATGAGTCCAAAAGATTGTATATTGCTTTGAAGAAAACCAGTTCATTTTACATGTAAGCTTCCAAATTGGCAATAAACTTTAATTACAGGGTCAGATAATCAAATTATAATCAAAGAGCCTCACATAAAAATCTATGTTTGAAATTAATGAGACACAAGCCTGCCACTTGGTACCATCGCACCTCTGCAACGTGCTAACAGACATTTCATTTTCATTTAAAAGTCACCTTAAGGACTTTCTCCTCAATTTTCACTGTGTAGCTTAATTTGATTTAGAAAACATTTCATTCTTAGATCATACAGTCCTTCGGAGTTTCATATTCAGCTCTACATTTGTCTTCTCCTCTCACCTTGGGGAGGTCTGCCTTAGAATCGACGATGGGATTTCCAAATTGGCATTACTGTAAACCCTTCCAACTGAGAGGCGAATATATGTCTCTCTGTGTTTGGAAGAACCTTCCACCTGGTGCCAGGTGGCATCTGACAGAGGCAGCAAATCACACCCTAAGACCAAGTGGCCCAGAAAATTTTGCCAGAGGAAAAAATGTGGATAACTTAGAAATAATTAAATTATTCTGAAATCAACAAATACACTGACAAGTGAATGGCATTGACACTTATACTTGCCTCATGGTTTCATTAGATATGAACAAGCAGAACACTAAGTTCTGCTTTAAAACCTGAGTTTTATCTTTAGAAGTGGTTTCATTGTCTTCTTAAGTGACAGCAGAAATTTTCGTTAGAATGACCAAGAGCCAGCTACTGGGCTTCCTCTTCCTGGCAAGCAGGTGGGCCGAGACCAAGTGAGAAGAGCAAGGAGCTTTGAAGCTCATAGAGAGGAATTTAAAATAGGCTGGAGGTGGTGGCTCATGCCTGTGATCCCAGCACTTTGAGAGGCCAAGGCAGGATGATCATTTGAGGCCAGGATTTTGAGACCAGCCTGGGCAGCGTAGTGAGATCCTGTCTCTACAAAAAATACAAAAATTAGCTGGGCGTGCTGCCGACTGCCTGTAGTCCAAGCTACTCGGGAGGCTTAGGCCGGAAGATCGCTTGAGCCCAGGAGTTCGAGGTTGCAGTGAGCTATGATGACACCACTATACTCTAATCCAGGAGACAGAGCAAGACTTTGTCCCTCCAAAATAAAATGGACTCTCTTCTGTCATTGGCATGCTTTCTTTTTCTAAAGATTAGACTTTTCTTTGTTATTCCATAGTATAATATAAATGGGCTGCAGAGTATCTGATAGGGTTGCCAGATTTAAAAAATATATCATTTTTTAGTATAAGTATATCCCAAATATTGCATGGGATATACTTATACTAAAAATCCTTCCTTGTTTATCTGAAATTCAAATTTAAGTGGACATCCTATATTTTTACTTGCTAAACTGGCAACCCTGGTCTGTAATAATGATGATAATAAATGCTCCTTTGAGTGTTCAGAGCTTTTCATGGTAATTAACTAAATGTTTCCAAACTTGCCAGATCACCCAATTATAAGAATAGGCTGGGCTGGGTGTGGTGGTTCAGGCCTGTAATCCCAGCACTTTGGGGAGGCCAAGGCAGGACGATTGAGGCCAGCCTGGGAAACAGAGAACCTGTCTCTACAAAAAAATTTTAAAAATTAGCCAGGTAGGCCAGGTGTGGTAGCTCACACCTGTAATCCTAGCACTTTGGAAGGCCTAGGTGGGAGGATCAATTGAAGTCAGGAGTTTGAGACCAGCCTGAACAAGAGTGAGACCCTATCTCTACCAAAAATTAGTCAAAGGTGGCAGCACGTAACTGTAGTCCCAGTTACTTGGGAGGCTGAGGTTGGAGGATCCCTTGAGCCAAGGAATTTGAAATTGCAGTCAGCTAAGATGACACCACTAAACTCTATCCCAGGCAACAGAGAAAGACCCTCTCTTCATTAAAAAAAAAAATAATAATAATTAGCCAAGTGTGGTGGTGTGTACCTGTAGGTCAAGGGAGGCCAAGGCGGGAAGGATCACTTGAGCCCAGGAATTTGAATTTACAGTGAGCTATGATCATGCCACTGTGCTCCAGCCTGAGTGACAGAGCAAGACTTTGTCTTCAAAAATAAATAAATAAATAAATAAAAATAAATGAAAAGAATCATCTTGGAACTTTTAAAAACTACAGATGCCCAGGCCCATCCTACAATGGCTGATTCAGGAAGCTCAGGATTTTACCTGGGAGTCTGTATTTTGACAAGTTTCCTGGGTGGCTCTTGGCATTGGAAGTGTTTGGAAAACACTGCTAATATCTCCCATCTTGTCACTACCTTCCTGAGAAGCAGGTGCTCTGCAGTTTGGGAGGTAAGGCAATATCACTAACCTTCATTTCCATTTGGGGAAATCATGGCTTAGCAAAGTGCTCCAGCGTATTCATGACCTTGGACCTACTGAAATGTCAGCCTCAATTTGCTGCGGAGAGTAAAACATTGTATGGCTTAGAGAAGGACAGGTGGAAGGTAACTGACCATGTGAGTTATTTCTATCACTGTAATTACCATTTTTGCTGTTTTGTCTGGCACGCTCAAGGGTCCCGCTGTGAGCTATTAAAGAATGGGGTACTGATCATCTCCATCTTGGGTTTTTCATCTACAATAAGGAGAACCTCCGGCCTCAAGCTTTCTCCATGTTTTTTACCACTGGGACAAAAAAAAAATAAATAAAAGGAGTGAGATGGACCAAAAGCCTGTGAGAAGTTCCATCTGTCAGGGACAAGTGTGTGGAGGGTGGTGCTATGAAGGTGGGCAGCTCTGTCTCCCAGCTGCCGTGTTAGCCCTTGTCCCTCCACATCCCTTCAGGCCACAGAGACTCATGGAAGATGGGGGACAGGAAGGAAAACACAGAACCCCAAAGATGGTCATTTGCTCTCTCAGCACGCCACATGTGCAGTAAAGGGAAACTGCAAGGATGTCAGTGTGATGAGAACATTCAACAAGAACAGAGAGGCCCTTGGGTGATGCCCATCCTCCCCTGCTCTGTGCAGTTACTGTCAGGGCAGGAACTGTGGGTTTAAAGTCAACCATTGCGCAGGCGTGGTGGCTCACGCCTGTAATCCTAGCACTGTGGGAGGCCAAGGCGGGAGGATTGCTTGAGGTCAAGAGTTCGAGACCGGCCTGCGCAAGAGTGAGACCCCATCTCTACCAAAATATAGAACAAATTAGCTGGGCTTGGTGGCATTCACCTATAGTCCTTGCTACTCAGGAGGCTGAGGCTGGAGGATCCCTTGAGCCCAGGAGTTTGAGGTTGCGGTGAGCTATGAAGATGCCACTGCACTCTACCTGGGGCCACAGAGCGAGACTCCGTTTCAAAAAATAAAAAAAATAAAAAAGCCAACCAATCATCTCCTTCTCCTAAGAAGTGTTTACCTGCAGAAGTTGGAATCAGAGAAAAGAATGAGGTCTTGTTTCACCCTCCACGTTTCATGTTGCTCTGGTCCAATGCACAGGGAAAAACATGTCAGGGAATTGTTCCTTCACAGGAAACGGCAGCCTCTCGAAGGAGACCTGCTGCGGATCCCTCTTGTCCACCCCTCTTGGGTGTCTTCCTGCCATCCCACAAGCAGGCAGTCATGCTTTCCTTCCATAGGCAAGTTGCCCTCTTTTGGAATGATCACTGGCCCGTCGGTTTTCACCCCATCTCCCCCTCATCTGCCACCATGACCATGACCTTGGGCAGGCCTTGTCTCTGCCTCAGCTTCCACTCAGGTTGGTTACTCCTGGTGCTGACGTTCTGGGAGTCTCTGCTATAGTCTTCCCTTGGGTGGGGGCTGGGTGGGGTGCAGGGGAGAGACCGACGAGAGGGTCAATTAGGCACACACTAAAATCAAAGAAACAAAACTCAATTTATCCTTTTCACCTCAAGCCATTACTTCCCACACTTCTCTTTCCAAAATTAGCCCAAAAATGACTTTCGCTGTGCAATCCTACCTCGTAAGATCTGCTTTTCACTATCCCTTGAGTTATTTCCACAACTCTATATGAACCTAATGACTGAAGGGATAACACGGACAAAGTTTCTGTTCCAAAGAAAAGACATGTCCTCGAGCCTCCCCTAAGCCAGTGTGCTGAGTCCTTAGATCACACGTCATATTTGAGAGGGGCCAGGATGTTTTCAAAGCCCTCCTGAGCATGGTCACCTCCGAGGACCCCAGCTCCGCCCTGTAAGACGTAAAGGACAGGGCGAAGTGCCTTCGGGGACAAACTGTGGACGGGGCGTGGGAGGAGGAAAAACAAAGCAGGAGTGACATTAATCATGGCAAGTGGTGGGGTTTGGCTGATGAAGGTGGATTCAAATTATCCTTTTTCTTAATCTCCCGAGCCCTTGGTAATGCTCTATCGACTAGACACTTACCAGGTCAAAAACATGTTTGGCTGCCTGTTTTCCTGGAGGTATCCCAATCCAAATCACCCACAAGGTGAAGAATTTATCAAAAACCATTCGGAACAGCTCCAGCTACCTCCAGCTGTGATGCTCCTAGGCGCTCTCCTCATCGGCAAGGAACGCCTCGTTCCTCCTGGAAGGGTGAGCACCCAGGGCTCCTGAAGTTAGTCTTGGTTTTCAGGTGTGATGTGCAATTCTAAGGTTGACTCTGCAATGGCAACTTGATACCGTCTGGCAGGCATTGAAGGTGCACGCCCTCTTTGACCCAGAATGGCCACAGGTAGGGGTTGACCTTAAGAAATGTCATCTGCACAAAGCTTGTAACTGTGAAAAATCAGTAGTCATGTGTGGCATAAATAAATTATGGTATGTTCATATAAAAGAATACTCTGCAGTCATTCAAAATTACATAGAAGAATACGCATTGACATGAAAAAATGTTCTCCTATGTGTTTGTGAAAATTATAGTGCCATGTTTATGAAAATTATAGTGCCATGTTTATGAAGACAAAATTACTGCAAGACCACCTTAAACAGTTAACAGTGGTCCTTTTTGATTGATAAGATTATGTCTGACTTAGATATTTTTGTTTTTGTCTTGTTTACCAAGTTTTTTTGCAGAAAGCAATTAATAATTTTATTAATAATAACTATTAACTATTATAATAATAGTTATTATTTTAAAATTAAGAACAAGCTAATTACACTTTTGAGAAAAAAAATATAACAGGACAAAAATCTTACTGGCCTTAATGGAACTTCCATTTTGTCACGAGTCAAAGGATTCTATGTTCACTGTGTTTCTAAATTGTCCCAAACTGTGCATTCACTGGTCTTGCCTTGGTCTTTCGTTCTTTCTCTTTCTCTACCCACGTGGAAATATTCCAGCCGACAAGAGGAAGTAGCAAAAATACTCCCTAATGAGTAAATTATGGGATGTATTCAGACCTAACTTAATATGTTTAATGCAGACGCAGTAATACCAGACACATAGTAGGTGCTAATTAAATGTTTGTTGAATGAATGAAAAATGCAATCTTGGTATTTTAAGGGCTTTTATTTGTTCCATTGTTAAAATAGGGAAAAAAATGTGGTTCAATAAAACCCATTTAATTCAATTCGTAACAAACAGTGGTTTAAAATAGAAATTCCAAACCAATTTTGGCTAAAAGGGGTCTAGTATATTCTAAACAGCTGCTGTTGTAGACACAGTCTGAAATAAATAACTTCCAGCATAGTTCCAAGTCTGCATTGAATAAACAGCACAGATAGAGGAAAGGGCTTTATTAGCATTAATTGCAATGAGCCTGTGTAGCTCAGAGGCGGGACTGTTGCTCGCAGAGAAATCTAGCAGCGATGGTCCTTCCTTAGGCTGTAGATGGAGCCATAACATTACTAAATATCATCCCAGCGTGTGCGTTGGGGGTTTTGTGCTGTAAAAGCCAGATGTTTGGAAGTTTTCCGGCTTTAGTTTCTGAGTGTGAACAACCAGAAAGCTCAGACTTTTTTCTTCTCTCGATATTGACTGGGACTGTGGAAGCCAAGAGACTCACTGGGGTGGCTCCAGCGTTCATTCTCCCAGCAATGATCACCTCCTCTCACCTTCTTCTCTGACAATCTCTCTGCTGGAGGGCATCCTGAGGCTGCCGGTCCTGCCTCAGCCGGTGAATTCATTTAGAAAATCAGACCCCAATCCAACTCTTCTTTGCATTCTTTTTTGCTTTCTTTTCACAAGAGCGGCTCACAGGCCAGGAGCCTGGGACTCACCTGACTTCCTGGGCCAGAGGGAAGTTCAGGGTGGGTTTTCACGCCAGGGCTCGAACATCTGTTCTTTCTCCCCCTTTCTGTGAGGTCCCAGCTCTAGCTTCCCCTCCTCTCTTCTCTTCTTGCCCCTGTCCTTTCTACCCCCTTCTCCTCCTCCTCCCCTCTCTCCGCACACACAGGTCCTCATGGCCAGAGTCTTGAGACAAAAGCATTTCCATATTCATCTCACCATGTCTTCCCACTGGCCTGTGTGTGATGTCTTATCCTGTCACTCTTTCCTCCAAAATATTCCATGACTCCCTCCCTGCTCTCATGGGGAAGTCCAGCTTCCTTGGGCTGACATTCCAAGGGTATAGATCTCCCTGTCCCTTCCCCCGCCCGAATGCCCTAAGCACAGGCTACCCCAGTGCTTCGTGCCTCTAGTCACATTCCCACCTTCCTCACGCTGACTTCTTTCCTTGCCTCCACTGAGAATTTTTTTCTCCCTGCAGTGGAAGGACTTCATGATGGTGCTACAGCCCAACTAGGTTCATTGCTTACTGATCGAGAGGAAGCCAACGCACTGAGACAGCAGGGGTTACAGCAGAGAAAGAATTTAATATTGCAGGCACCATGCGAGGAGACAGGAAGAAGTTCTCAAATCCATCTCTCCAAGAATTTGGGAGAAGGGGTTTTTAAAGATAGTTTGGCAGGCAAAGGGCTAGGCAATTGGGCCTGCTGATTGGCTGTGTTCAGGGTGGAACGGTAGGGGTGCAGAAATTGTCTTCTTTACTGAGTCTGTTCTTGGGTGGGGGTTGCAAGACCAGTTGAGTCAGTTCCTTGGTATGGGCCACTGGTCTGGGTGGATCAGCCATTTCACAGGAACACAGGGCCTGGAAGATATCTCAAAAACTAGCCTTAGTTTTCACAAGGGTCATGTCATCTAGGGGACCAAAGAAGAAAGCTAAGAATCTTTATGACCACCAGCTGTGTTACTGCTGAGTAGGAAGCAATTATAGGAAAGCAAGCTAGGGAATAATGGCTGGTCATATATATTTATATATATGTGTGTATTTCCCCTACCACAGTTCCCACTTTATGACCCTTTATTAATTTTATAAAGGGTGGTTCCAATGGCACATTCCATATTCACCTTGGATTCTGGTTTCCTGGGTGCATGTCTGTTATCAGATAACCATCTGAAGGGTTTCCATGTACTTTCTTGTACACTGAGGTCTTCCCCATTCATTCAGTACACTCTTCCTAGTACACCATTGCAAGAGAAGGGAGGGGTATGTGTCGGGGACAAAGAGTTCTCCTCCCTGGCACTGGAGCTGCCAGAGTGAGTCCTCATGCCCTTTGGGCAGTGGGGAAGTTCCTGGCAAAAACAAGAGCTGTAGGTGACAACGCGCTGTGAAAGAGGATGTCTTCCCCTCCCTGAGGTGAGAAGGCAGGTCCTCAGGCTGGGTGGGGAGAGGGCAGAGGGAGAGGTGAAGAAAAGCAGAGAGTATAGGGCTGGTGGGTCTTTGAGAAGGTGCTCTGTCCTGTGCCCCATAGACCTAACCCAGTGGGTTGGGAAACCACAGATCCTCAAACAGCGTTGCTGGATCTGAAAGCAGAGAGCCCCTGAGATGTGCTTCCTGGGAAGAGCTTGGAGACGTGAACAGAGTCTAGAGGCAACGCAGTGACAGGATGGGTCTGGGTAGAAGAAGCCTTAGACTGCTTTGCAGAGTTTCCAGTCTCCCCTGGTGGCACAGAGGGACTCAGGGACACATGGTGTCAGCCTTGTAGCAGAGGCAGTAGCCTCCCCCAGCCATGGCCCTTGGGCTATACTTTGTCTACGACCAGCTGCTGGCACCCAGGTCTCTTTGTCAAGAGGATTTCTCTGGTTGCCAAAGCCAGCGCTGCCCACGCACGTGGCAGGCCAGAGTGTCGGGAAACCGATGCCCCAGCAGCCCTAACCTAGCGACTCGACTGGTGTCTGTACACCCCAGCTCCCTGGCCCGTCATGTGGGATAGCTCTGAGACACACACATGTTCAACACTGTTTTCCAGGCCTCCCCCGGGAGATGAAGCTCCGGCTGCCTGCAGGTAACGTGCTTGATAACACACTGTTGGCTTCCCTTGCCTGTCTCACACCCTACCGGTTTGGGGATGACTTCCAAATAAACTAGCTTGTGTTCTAACACTAATACAAATTCAAAGACACTCTTGGAAAGGAACAGAGCATGACGTGGCAGGAACCCACGGGGACTGACGACGGGGTGGGAGCAGAGCTCTCCCCACTGGTTTCCTCGCAGACAGATAGTGACCGGGACCAGCTGCACTCCCTTTCCCAGAGTGTGCATCTCACAAGCCCGCCCTCCCCTCAAAAAGTTCTTCAGAACCACCAGGGAGAAGGGGAATGGGGCGGGGGGGGGGCGGCGGGGGGACTTGTGCTTTAAATTAATTTGTTGAAAGAAAAAGATTTCACCTTTTTCATCTGATTTTGTGGGTGTGTCCTCAATCTATGTCCCTCTCCTCTTTCTCTTTTAGCTGCTCGAGGACAGGGAATGGGCCTTGTCCAGTCTGTGGCCTCCACGTACTAGTATCTCCCAAGGGAGTGGCTTGTTAAGCCATTCAGTCCACCTGGCCATGTGACAAGGGATGTTGATGGCCTTATGGAGGAGCTGACAAGGAAGTGGGACCTCACCCTGCAATGGCAAAGAAATGAGTTCTGCCAACAACCTGAATAAGCTTGTAAGTGGGTTTTTCCCAAAGTCTTCAGATAAGAACTCAGGCTAGTCAACACCTTGCTTTTGGCATTGGGAGACCCTGAGCAGAGGAGCCAGGCAAGTCCACCCAAAACTGGCCTACAGAATGGTAAGATAATAAATTAGGGCTGTTTTAAGCCACTAAGTTCAGATTAATTTGTTATAGCAGCAACAGTAAACTAATACATAGGTGGTAAGGGCCAGTGAGGCCACTGTTTGTGGCAACTTTGATTAAAATGTTGAAAGGTAAGCTCTATAGAATTGACCTTTCTGTTTCTGTCCACCTACAAGGCATGTCAGTCAGTCTTGGAGAACTTTCTATTAGGATGACTTGTTAAGAATTGTGAATGAATGAAGAAAGCTGATTCCTTTTGTATCTTAAGGGAGTATGTAGAAGGCTATGTAGCCAGGGTGGCTTTGGTGTGATCTGGAGGTGAGGTGGGGATGAGGTGACCTCTGGGATGGCCTTTGCATCACAGAGCTGAGTGGCTCTTTGCCCCCTTGATTGACTGCCCTGTGGCTGTTGGCAGTTGGAGACCCTGGGATCTGTCAGGAAGCCAGGTTGTATGGCCACACACAACATCCATGAGCACATTTGACGCTGCTCTGTCCAGGTGGTATGACGGGGCACCAGGGTTTAGCTTCAGGTTTACCAAAGCATTTTTGCTCCTCTTCATCCAAGCAAAGGGTACTTGAAACTCGGGGTTGGAATTTGCTTCTCCTCGTCAATTAAACTTTTATGTTTCAATAAACTTCAAGCTCATGGTAGCTATAGCTGCCAACTGGAGCTGTTCATATGTGTCCTGGGGGTTGTGGCAGGGATAGGAGTCCACACTTTGATCTCTACGATGAGGGTAAATAGCACTTTTCAGTCCCCCAAATGGAGGAAGTGGGCACTGGTTTCCTGCCTTAATCACAGAGCTCTATGGAATCTACTTCTTGTCTGGGAGGGGAAACCCTTGTACTCTGGCTTGACTTTCATGTCTCTCGCTGGTCAATATAGAAAGACCGCGAACTGGGAAAGTGACCAAATGTTCTCCTTTCTAGTATGGAAAATTTCAAACACATATAAAAGCAGAGAGGATGGGCCAGGGAACTCCCAAGTGCCCAACACTCAGCTTCAGTAATGATCAGCTCACAGCCGGTCCTGTTCATCTGTACCCACACCTACTCCCCCACCTTCCGTGTTATTCTAAAGCAAATTCAAGACATCACATTATTTCATCCACAAATATTAAGTAAACATGCATCACTTTTATATTAATAATTAGAAATAAAAACATTACCTGACTTATTCTGAAACTCTATACCCCATACTGTCCAGGAGAAGCAGCAGAACAGGCTGGAAATAAAATGTAACTGTTATTCTTTGGGGGATTTGGAAGAAATGTGTTCTCTGCCCACGGTTGTTAACAATGTTTATTCCAAGGGAAAGACTCTCACAGTGGGATTTCTGATATCCACGATGGGCTGTCCTGGGGGCAGGGGATTGGGGAATACAGTGAACCTCGTATGCCAAATCCCTTAGTAAGTACAGGGGAAATGATTTTGAATTATGTCTCAGGAGTTCACCAACCTCTCTCGCCTAATCAAACAATGGGAAGTTTTAGGATTCCCGTGGGTACAGCGTGCCATCGCCCTCACTGAACTGTGCTCATTAAATGTCTGTTGGACTCACAGCCCTACCTTCTGTTGCCTACTGGGATCTCTCTTTGACTTCATCTCAGGCATGAATTTTTCTCCTGCCTTGTTCATTTGGATTAGAAACCCCAGGATGTTCAACTGGGCTTACATGTTCCCTTCCTTTCTCGAAACAATACAAATGTTTTGGAGGAATTCTGGGCTGCATTAGATGATCAATTTCAGTTTCCATGTAAGACACGGAAGGCTCACCTCGGCTTACAGCTGACTCCCGGAGATGGTCTGGCTCACGGCTGATCTCTGCAGAGTGGAAAAGACCTTCCTGGCAGCTGGCATTTAAGCACAGTTCCCGCCCTTGTCCTGCTCCGAACTCAGCACAAGTCAAAACTCACAGGAGCGCGACCTTGACTAAGGGTCTGGGACTTCCTCCTCCTTGCAGAGGCTGGTGCTCACAAAACCCTACAAAGTGAGATCGGGACTGAGCTTGGGAGGCGGGGACAGGATGGCACAAGTGCTTTCTTCTTGTTTTCTTTGGCGGGGAGAGAAAAGACCACGATGAGTATGTGTTGTATCTGGCCTGGGTGCTTCCTGTGGCCTCCTTGGGTTAATGGAGAAAAGCTATTGAATGCTGTCTACCAGGTAGATCTGTTTCCTTGCAAATACAAATGTAAATGACTCTTGCACAGACAGCTTTAATGGCTGAGTAAACGTTTGACCTTCCGTAAGAGTCCAGAATTGAGGTGTCGGCATCAGTAGAAACCATGCACATGACAAGTTAAGAGGTGACAAGTGAAGACATATGAGATCCTTTGCACAAGGAGGGAGTCGCAGGGTGGGGAGCTGGACAATTTGCTGTCTGCCTTCGAGGCTGGTGTGTGTGCCTTTTGACCTGGCATGAGGGTTAGCTGCAGAAGCAGCCTGCAGTGGAGAGATCTGAAAGGAAAGATACTGCAGGTGGAAGAAAGACTAGCTCGGTGGAAGCGGATCCTACTCTTGGCAAGGAGGCTAAGAGGTTTCGAGAGTGAAGAGACGGAAGGAAGAGACTGAAGGCTGTTTGGGTGTTTTCCCAGAGACTCTCCTCAGTTGCTCTGGGGGTTGTACCGTGATACTCACCGACTGTGATGCTGATGGAAGCCCGACACCTGGACGTAGTTGGGTTGCAGACACTCTGATGGCTTGCCTTCACGAAGAAGAGAGACGAAAGCAAAATGTCCCCTGGGAGACTATGGAACCATTTTCACTAAGAAATGAACTGTGGCTTTTGCTGGAAGAGTAGACTCTTGATGAAGAGTGGGGCATGGGTCGGCTGCCTCTCATCCACCCCTGGACCTGGATCAGGACCATCCAGCATCTTCCC